CCTGATTTTATTTCTATAAGAGAGTGTTTATTATTTCGTTAAGAAAGACTTAGTGGAGACTGAAGCTGCCGTCGCATTGTGGAGACATTCTAGAGGTTAGCATCGTGCAAGACTTGGAGAGAATTGCTTGTGACGATCAACGAGTTCGGGTTTCCAACGGATGTCTGTTGCTGCTACCGAGTACTGGCTGCATTGATAGCTGGTTTCGCTGTGGATCTTGTGAGGACACCTGCACGGAACTACTATATTTTGCTGAGGCATTATCTACAAGTAGTGAGTAACTACAAATGTGGGGTGGACTTCGGGACTTCATGTATGTCGTCATTTTTTTATGAGCTCCAACGCGCGCCCAGGGTTTAAGCAAGCTTGCAAATAATTTGGACATGGGTTGTGGAAAAATCATTGGGGTTTATAATTTTTATTTATTTTGATGTGATACATTGAACATTTGATTAATATAGATCTTGAACCTTATGTCTGTTGTATTGGTGGAGTCATTTACTGTTTCAGTTTCATTTAATGCATGGGAAAGCATATCCTTATAACAATAACCAAGTCTATAATCATTCTATCTGAAGTTAATACCCTATTTGTCATTCACCCTAGCAAGTTTACAATCGGGATTCTTATTGGAGATGTCCTTCTCACCTAATATCCCATGCTGTTCAGATATTCTAAATAAGGTAATATTCTGAGAGTCAAATTCGAGCCTGGTGAGAGGGTTACATATATATAAACGATATGAAAGATGCTTGTGCTTGCCGTCTTTTCCTTTATGCGGATGACTCTACACTTCTGGTGTCTCATAAAAGTACAACTATGTTGGAGAGCATACTTTTCACAGAGCTTACTAACATTAGCAAATGGCTTGGAGATAATAAGCTATATCTGCACTGAGGCAATTATTTTTCGGTCCAGACCTAAATTGTGTTGGTCCTCAGAGTGGAGTTAGTGGGTGAGGTGCTTACTACTAAAACCTCTGTTTGCTACAGTGGCTTGCGAAAGTATTCACCCCCCTTGGCATTTTTCCTATTTTGTTGCCTTACAACCTGGAATTAAAATTGATTTTTTGGGGGTTTGTATCATTTCATTTACACAACATGCCTACCACTTTGAAGATGCAAAATAGTTTTATTGTGAAACAAACAAGAAATAAGACAAAAAAACAGAAAACTTGAGCGTGCATAACTATTCAAGCGCCCCCCCCCCCAAAGTCAATACTTTGTAGAGCCACCTTTTGCAGCAATTACAGCTGCAAGTCTCTTGGGGTATGTCTCTATAAGCTTGGCACATCTAGCCACTGGGATTTTTGCCCATTCTGCTCCAGCTCCTTCAAGTTGGATGGGTTCCGCTGGTGTACAGCAATCTTTAAGTCATACCACAGATTCTCAATTGGATTGAGGTGTGGGCTTTGACTAGGCCAGTCCAAGACATTTAAATGTTTCCACTCGAGTGTTGCTTTAACAGTATGCTTAGGGTCATTGTCCTGCTGGAAGGTGAACCTCCATCCCAGTCTCAAATCTCTGGAAGACTGAAACAGGTTTCCCTCAAGAATTTCCCTGTATTTAGCACCATCCATCATTCCTTAAATTCTGACCAGTTTCCCAGTCCCTGCCAATGAAAAACATCCCCACAGTATGATGTTGCCACCAAAATGCTTCACTGTGTTCTCGGGATGATGAGAGGTGTTGGATTTGCGCCAGACATAGTGTTTTCCTTGATAGCCAAAAAGCTCAATTTTAGTCTCATCTGACCAGAGTACCTTCTTCCATATGTTTGGGGAGTCTTCCAAATGGCTTTTGGCGAACACCAAATGTGTTAGCTTATTTTTCATTTTTTTCCTGACCACTCTTCCATAAAGCCCAGCTCTGTGGAGTGTACGGCTTCAAATCAAATCAAATTTTATTGGCCACATGCGCCGAATACAACAGGTGTAGACAATACCGTGAAATGCTTACTTACAGCCCTTAACCAACAATGCATTTATTTTTTTATAAAAATGTAAAATAAAACAACAACAACAAAAAAGTGTTGAGAAAAAAAGACCAGAAGTCAAATAAAATAACAGTAGGGAGGCTATATATACAGGGGGGTACCGGTGCAGAGTCAATGTGCGGGGGCACCGGCTAGTGAGGTAGTTGAGGTAATATGTACATGTGGGTAGAGTTAAAGTGACTATGCATAAATAATTAACAGAGTAACAGCAGCGTAAAAAGATGGGGTGGAGGTGGGGGGGCAGTGCAAATAGTCCGGGTAGCCATGATTAGCTGTTCAGGAGTCTTATGGCTTGGGGGTAGAAGCTGTTGAGAAGTCTTTTGGACCTAGACTTGGCACTTCGGTACCGCTTGCCGTGCGGTAGCAGAGAGAACAGTCTATGACTAGGGTGGCTGGAGTCTTTGACAGTTTTGAGGGCCTTCCTCTGACACCGCCTGGTATAGAGGTCCTGGATGGCAGGAAGCTTGGCCCCAGTGATGTACTGGGCCATACGCACTACCCGCTGTAGTGCCTTGCGGTCGGAGGCCGAGCAGTTGCCATACAAGGCGGTGATGCAACCAGTCAGGATGCTCTCGATGGTGCAGCTGTAGAATTTTTTGAGGATCTGAGGACCCATGCCAAATATTTTCAGTCTCCTGAGGGGGAATAGGCTTTGTCGTGCCCTCTTCACAACTGTCTTGGTGTGTTTGGACCATGATAGTTCATTGGTGATGTGGACACCAAGGAACTTGAAGCTCTCAACCTGTTCCACTACAGCCCTGTCGATGAGAATGGGGGCGTGCTCAGTCCTCTTTTTTTTTCTGTAGTCCACAATCATCTCCTTTGTCTTGGTCACGTTGAGGGAGAGGTTGTTATCCTGGCACCACACGGCCAGGTCTCTGACCTCCTCCCTATAGGCTGTCTCATCGTTAAAGTGGTCCTATGGACAGATACTCCAATCTCCACTGTGGAGCTTTGCAGCTCCTTCAGGGTTATCTTTTGTCTCTTTGTTGCCTCTGATTAATGCCCTCCTTGCCTGGTCCGTGAGTTTTGGTGGGCGGCACTCTCTTGGCAGGTTTGTTGTGGTGCCATATTCTTTCAATTTTTTTATAATGGATTTAATGGTGCTCTGTGTGACGTTCAAAGTTTCTGATATTTTTTTATAACCCAACCCTGATCTGTTCTTCTCCACAACTTTGTCCCTGACCTGTTTGGAGAGCTCTTCAAGGTGCCGCTTGCTTGGTGGTGCCCCTTGCTTAGTGGTGTTGCAGACTCTGGGGCCTTTCAGAACAGGTGTATATATACTCATGTGACAGATCATGTGACACTTAGATTGCACACAAGTGGACTTTATTTAACTAATTATGTGACTTCTGAAGGTAATTGGTTGCACCAGATCTTATTTAGGGGCATCATAGCAAAGGGGGTGAATACATATGCACGCACCACTTTTCCGTGAATAATTTTTTAGAATTTTTTGAAACAAGTTATTTTTTTCATTTCACTTCACCAATTTGGACTATTTTGTGTATGTCCATTACATTAAATCCAAATAAAAATAATTTTAAATTACAGGTTGTAATGCAACAAAATAGGAAAAACACCAAGGGGGATGAATACCTGGGATGGCACTGTACATGGGATGCATCCTTGATGGAAGCTTGGGGGGTGTGAGCATGGACAGTAAAGTGCTAGGGAAGGTTAATGCCAGGAACAAGTTTTTGGCTAGAAAGTCCAAGCTGCATGATAAGGACTCCATGAGCGTGCTAGTCACTGCCGTAATTCAATGCAATTTTGACTGCGCTCGTACTTCCTGGTTTGGGGGCTTATCTAAGCTTCTGAACGGGAAGCTCCAGATAGCCCAACATAAGCTGATCAGGGTAGTATTGAAGGTGAGTCCATGTACTCACATAGGCAAGAGCTGCTTTCAGGAACTCAACTGGCTGCCTGTTGAGGCTAGGGTGTCCCAGATTAGACTGGGTTTGGTTTACAGGAGTATTTATGGTTCTGCATCCAGATATCTGACTGATTACTTTCCCCATGTTAGGGATGCACACAACCACAGCACCAGATCAGGTGTTGCTAATGTGTGCATATACAGGTACAGGAGTAATGCTGGGAAAGGTACTTTCTTGTATACTGGAGCCTCAGAGTGGAATGAGTTGCCTTAAAAATAAAGTAAAAAATGGTTTGATGTCTTCTGTGCCCATATGAATGTACCCTACGATGTAACTGCAATGATGAGATAGATGTTCTTTTTTTTTGTTTTTATGTTTTATTATCTCAATGCCATACTGTGTTCTTGCCTAGCCATCTTGTTTCAAGAGGACCACAATGGAAATAAGTCCCAGACATTATTGTGTGTTATCCTCAATGATTTTACTCATGTATGGCTTTTTCAAGTTTTATGTGTGATTGTTTTTTTAAACGGTTGAATTAACAAACTAAACTAAAGTATGGTGAAATATCTCACTATATTAAGACCATTAAAGCCAAGGTCATAAACTAAAGACTACCTGAGGTTCCTATACAGAGTCACCATAGTATGCTGTGACACCCTGGTATGCCGCATACTGGGCATCTCACAAAATATGGTTTCCATCGGTCCAAACTGCCACAGCTGTGCACACTGTGAATGAGGCCAATCCAAATTTGAGCACAAATAGACTTCAAGGCAGGCTTATTTTGGACCACTATGTTATCCATTCCACAGCACAAAATCCCCTCTCCAAGACCATAAACTGACTGTGTAAAAGCTGATTGTAGTGTCACTATAAAGGCATTTAAATGTTTGTCATGTTGTTGGCTGAAATTGAGATAATTTCATACATGGTAAATCCATTGAAAGATGATAAAGTGAAGCCTACTTCCAAACCCATACAGTCTATATTGGCTCAGTGTGCTTGTTGGAAGGTCGTTGAGAGTTGGCTAAAGGAGTGGGCAATATACAGCACAGTTAATTGCACATACAACACACAACCTTCCATATACCCCCTTTGATAATTGGCCCTACTCGTAACGCTCCCATGCAAAACTCTGGGCGTGCGGTGGAGAGGAGAGGTGAGCCTACTAGCTGTTATCAGGCCCAGCACACAGAGCAGGGTGTTCAGTCCCAAGGTGACGAGTGTAAGGGCACTGATTAGACAGCACGGCTTGAACAGGCCTTGGCCAGCAGTGGGCACTGGGCTGCCAACGGACCATCACCAGGCCCCAACACTCACACTCACTCACTCACTCTCTCACACACACACACTCCAGCCAACCTCCTCCTTCCTCCTCCTCCTTAAAGTGAGTAGGAGCTATGCTGAGAGGATACCCAGAGTCCTCTGTGCTGGCTGGATCGTTCTCTCCTAGACTCCACTCTTTGACTTCCATCCAAAGTAATATCTGCAGGGAGCCCACAAGATGAATAGCTCTGCAAATGCTGCATTAAAAACTCATGAACGGGGATACCTTCAGGGGAGCTGGGAGCTCCTTGGCTGGGAAGAGGTGGCCCTTTTTTCTGCTGAGTAGTGATTTGAGCAGAGCAGGGGAGAGCGAGAGCAGTAGGAGGACCTCAGTAATGTGTCCTGTCACCAGGGCCGTATTGAGCGGATTGAGGGCCCTGCTGTACTGTAATATGGCCTCATCTCCTGTGTTGCTGGGTGCCAGTCAGAGAGGGCATCTGGGGTTGTGTCTAAGTGGTGACTCAGATGGATGGAAGCTAGGACAGCTAGGACAGCAGAGTCCCTGCCCATCTTCCGAAAACATCTGAAACCCTACCTCTTCAAACAGTATCTTAAATAATCCTCCTCCTCACCTCGACTCTACTGATAGCTACGTTATTGAGGAACAATGTACTTTCTATGCCTGTGATATGTGGTTGTCCCACCTAGCTATCTTAAGATGAATGCACTAACTGTAAGTCGCTCTGGATAAGAGCGTCTGCTAAATGACTCAAATGTAAATGTTAAATGAAAATGTGAGTGACTGGTGTGGAGCCCAGGTGTCAAGGTAGATGTAGGTGGGTGTGGTGGTGGAATCAGGCGCAGGACGCAGAACGTTAGTCCAACAGACTTTAGTAGATGCACACAAAAACAATCACGAATAAATGCCCTGAGGCGAAAACTCTGCACGTAGGCGAAAATAACGGGCGCACTAACAGGTGCGACAAAACACTCCAAACAATATGGAGAAATAGCTCAACCGAGCAAACAGTAGAATAACAGCCTACCGGCACGACAGTAAAACAATAACACACAACACTAGACAAACACAACGAGAACTTATAGGACACTAATTACACTAAACGATAACAGGTGTAACAACAATCAGACAAAAGCAAACGAACATAGAAACATGCAACGGTGGCAGCTAGTATTCCGGAGACAACGAACGCCGAAGCCTGCCCGAGCAAGGAAGAGAGGCAGCCTCGGCCGAAACCGTGACACCAGGGTTATTGCATCAGGGAAATGTGAAAGTGAAGGAAACTTAAAAAGCTGCACACAAAGTTCACAGAGTAATGATGTCATTACTGTGAGTCAGTCAACCACTTCTGAATAAGCGGATTACAGTTATGATACCTCCCTCCCTGTACCAAATCAAATCAAATTTGTCACAGGTGCCGAACACAACTGGTGTAGACTTTACCATGAAAGGCTTGCTTACGAGTCCTTCCCAATGATGCAGAGTTAAAAAATAATCATAAAAAATTAAAATAGAAACACAAGAGAGGTAAAATAAAATACACAAGAATGGAGCTACATACAGGGAGTACCAGTATCAGATTGGTGTGTAGAGGTACGAGGTATTTGAGGTAGATATGGACATGAAGGCAGGGTAAAAGTGACTGAAGGCAGGGTAAAAGTGACTGATGGCAGGGTAAAAGTGACTGAAGGCAGGGTAAAAGTGACTGAAGGCAGGGTAAAAGTGACTGAAGGCAGGGTAAAAGTGACTGAAGGCTGGGTAAAAGTGACTGAAGGCAGGGTAAAAGTGACTGAAGGCTGGGTAAAAGTGACTGAAGGCTGGGTAAAAGTGGTGGAACTCGTATGATGTCGCCCTTCTCCAGCGGCGCCATCTTTACCACATACCTACACCAAGTCACATGTTTTATAGGGCAGACTAGTGACCATTCTCATTGGCTTTGACAGCTCTTATGTTTGCTGTTCCTGAGAGGGTGGCCACTGAATAAGAAGAAAGGTGCCTACAGCTGATGCATTGACCACATTTGGTGATCCATGGAACATTGACAACTGTCACGCCCTGGCTCTGGGGACTCTGAAATGTTGAGCCACGGTGTGTAGTTTCTGTGTTATATTTTCTATGTTCATGTGCTAGATCGTTTAGATCTATGTTGGCCAGGGTGGTTCCCAATCAGAGGCAGCTGTATCTTGTTGTCTCTGATTGGGGACCATACTTAGGCAGCCTGTTCGGCACTAGTCGGTGTGGGATCTTGTTCCGTAAAGGTTTGTTTTGTGTAACCTAGGACTTCACGTATCGTTTGTTTGTTGTTTTGTGTCATGTTAAGTACTTAATAAAATGTACGCTTATCACGCTGCGCCTTGGTCCTTCTCGTTAATGAGCGATCGTGACAACAACATGTGATCGAGGGTGATAGGGCACAAAGGCATTCTTTCAATGAGTCGCTGTCTGTTGAATCACTGAAGCCCAGACATAACATATTCAGGGCTGGCCCACAGGCCATAAAATGTTTGTGTAAGTATATATTTCCCTTTATTCAGATTACAACATCTCACTTTCAGTTATTTGAAAAGGAAATAATCTCCCAAATATCACTATTTCTAAAACAAGCCATAGAAAGTTGGTTGCAATTTCAATTTAATCCTCCAGAAACGACAGAACAAATAATGCAACAAATATTGTGGTTAAACTCAAATATACGAATTGATAAAAAACTTTTTTTTTTGACAAAATGTTTACAAAAGGTATAATCTTCGTAAATGATATCATTGGTAGGACTGGTGGAGTTATGTTGCACATGCAGCTAACAAAAACATATGGAAATGTCTGCTCTACCCAAAATTACAACCAAATAATTGCAGCATTACCGCAAAAATGGAAGAGGAAAGTGGAAGGGGGAAAAAGTAAGGAACTTGTCTGTCGGCCTTGCATTAAAGAACATAATTGGTTAAATAAAACTGTGATAAATAAAAAAGTATACCAGTTTAATTTAAGGACCAAAGGATTGACAGCCGTCCCATATACAGTGGGGGAAAAAAGTATTTAGTCAGCCACCAATTGTGCAAGTTCTCCCACTTAAAAAGATGAGAGAGGCCTGTAATTTTCATCATAGGTACACGTAAACTATGACAGACAAAATTAGAAGAAGAAAAATCCAGAAAATCACATTGTAGGATTTTTAATGAATTTATTTGCAAATTATGGTGGAAAATAAGTATTTGGTCAATAACAAAAGTTTCTCAATACTTTGTTATATACCCTTTGTTGGCAATGACACAGGTCAAACGTTTTCACACACTGTTGCTGGTATTTTGGCCCATTCCTCCATGCAGATCTCCTCTAGAGCAGTGATGTTTTGGGGCTGTCGCTGGGCAACACGGACTTTCAACTCCCTCCAAAGATTTTCTATGGGGTTGAGATCTGGAGACTGGCTAGGCCACTCCAGGACCTTGAAATGCTTCTTACGAAGCCACTCCTTCGTTGCCCGGGCGGTGTGTTTGGGATCATTGTCATGCTGTCAATTACATTGATGGAATTTACAATCTATCTGCAATATTAAAGCTGATCTACCCCCTAAAAAAAAAGTATGTGTACCACATTGTATATTTAGTGATTTACTGAACCACTCAGCACCTAATCAGCAACATACCACTGGTAATATCACAATATTTACATGACCAGGACATACTGCATCCGAACAAGCATTTGGATAACTTTATTTAAAGTTATTTGAAGCCAGGCTCTTAGCCCGCTCTCTGCAGTGGTTAAATTAAATGTGCTAGTTACGTTAATGCTGAAGCACCAAAAATATCTCTCACATTTGAGTGAGTAAGCCCAGTGAGGCTGTGAAGCCTGTGCATTGTTTTCCCTGCGCTGGGTCTACCAGGTGGAGGGAATCGTATGTTCCCTTGACCCCCCTGAGCTCCATCCCTCTGCAAATCCCCCCGACGCCTCTCCCTAATTCCCCTCAAGCCAGCATCCTCCAATAAATTAGCCCAGTGGCCCCTTCTGCGAAGGGCCCTGACAGTCTGGCCACTGATCAAGGGCCGAGCCACAAGCCCCACGTACACTACTGACTGAGCCTAGTGTAACCCAGACCCTGTCGTACAGCAAACAACCTGACAGCTAGGTCGGCTTGGGAGAAATTGGCTCTAGTTATAGTCTTTGTCTTATTGGGATTTGGATGGTTTTGCTTGTTTGATTATGTTTCTTTAACGTATTATGTCCTAGTAATTCTGATTCTGTTTCCTATCTCACTAGGTTTTTTTACTCCAGCTATATTCTGCCTGTGGCTGCTGTCTGGTGGTGTATCTGGTTCTAGTTGTCTGACAGTGTCTCTGTTCTCTCTCTCTCTCTCCAGTGCTGCTGAGCCTGCTGAAGGCCGGCGCCCAGACAGAAATGAAGAGAGTCGTCGGAGACAACGCCACCCTGCCGTGCCACCATCAGTTCTGGCAGTCCAATGCGCAGTCCCTCGACATCGAGTGGCTACTGCAGAAGCCCAACTCCAAGCAGAGAGTGGTGAGGAAGCTGCTCTCTCTTTCTCTTCTGATGTTTTTTGTCATTTTCTCTCTTTCCTTCTTTCTCTCTCTCTTCTCTCTCCTTTTCTCTATACCCCCTCCCAATTTCTTTGTTGCAACCAATTTGATTGAATTTTAATCGCTTTTTCAAAGGTACACTTATACAACACAATGTTCCTCCGATTTGTTTCCTTCCGATCTCAGCCCTTTTCTACTTCCTACAGTTTACTCTTACACTCTCCCAATTCCTCATGCCTCTATTTATTTCAACTGCTCAGGGTTTTGTACATAGGCTTTTTCAGATTCCCTGAAGTGTTAAAATATCGACAGAGATACAGTAGCAAACAAATTACTGTGGCTGAATGTCCACCTGAGACACAGTTACTAAATAAAGCCTGTACATCACACCAGCTGTGACAAAAAATACCTAGACATTCCAGTCCCTGAGAATTGAATTAGACCGCATCAATACTGCCAGCTCCTAATAAAATAAAAATGTATCCCTCCTATCACCTACCTTAAATCATCTACAGAGTCTAAAAACAGTCCTAATGTAATTACTTGTCTTGTAGCTCTCAGAAGATGTTAAAGTATCAGTTTCTGTTTTGATTTGTTCCTGTTTTTTCTTAAGGAAATGTAGTATCTGATAACAGTAAGACAGTGAAATCTGAACAGGCCTCATCAGAAGAAAGAGATTTCTTCTCTCTTTTGAAGTCAATCATTAACACACTGATCTTTTGATTAGCAGTGAGAGATTTGGTTCCACAAGAAAAGGGAGAGGAGGGAGAGAAGGGAGGAGGGAGAGAAGGGAGGAGGGAGAGAAGGGAGGAGGCAGAGAAGAAAGGAGGGAGAGAAGGGAAGAAAGGGGAAAACAAATGTCTAACACTTTGATATCTTGAAGGGGCTGGCGCATTGCATTGAATATTTAACAGGGAGATAACATTGAACATTAATTAAAATCAAACGTCTGAAAATGTGATTAGGAATGAGACTGTGCCTGTGGCGGAATGAATACATTATTTAATTTCTGCTGGAAGGCCGTGTTGAAATGGAAAAGAGCAGCTTGTCAACATTTAGCCTCTGTTGCCGAGCGTACAGGCTAAATGTGTCAGGAGCACAGAGGGGAGAGAAAGCCTGAGCAAGGGCAGGGTTCACTGGTGCTAACCTGGGGATGCGTATGCAAATACACAGTAACTTGAACCTCATAGCGCAGGTGCCAGGGTTATGTCACAGAGTGCCTGTGGCAGGGCTCAGTGTGTGTGTGTGTGTGTGTGTGTGTGTGTGTGTGTCTTTGTGTGTAAATGGCCAGACGTCACCTGCGAGCGCAGCAGGTAAACCAAGCTCTGGTGGCACTGATGTGCTGTGGCACCAGTGTTTAGCAGTCCCCATCTGCAGGCTCTCAGTTGCCCTGAGTAATAGGCTACTGTGACAGCTGTGTTTGATGTTGTTGTTGTAGTGTGTGTGTGTGTGTGTGTGTGTGTGTGTGTGTGTGTGTGTGTGTGTGTGTGTGTGTCTGTGTGTGTGTGTGTGTGTGTGTGTGTGTGTGTGTGTGTGTGTGTGTGTGTGTGTGTGTGTGTGTGTGTGTGTGTGTGTGTGTGTGTGTGTGTGTGTGTGTGTGTGTGTGTGTGTGTTTGTGTTTGTGTGTATGTATGTACAGTGAGGGAAAAAAGTATTTGATCCCCTGCTGATTTTGTACGTTTGCCCACTGACAAAGAAATGATCAGTCTATAATTTTAATGGTAGGTTTATTAGAACAGTGAGAGACAGAATAACAACAAAAAAATCCAGAAAAACGCATGTCAAAAATGTTATAAATTGATTTGCATTTTAATGAGGGAAATAAGTATTTGACCCCCTCTCAATCAGAAAGATTTCTGGCTCCCAGGTGTCTTTTATACAGGTAACGAGTTGAGATTAGGAGCACACTCTTAAAGGGAGTGCTCCTAATCTCATCTTGTGACCTGTATAAAAGACACCTGTCCGCAGAAGCAATCAATAAATCCGATTCCAAACTCTCCACCATGGCCAAGACCAAAGAGCTCTCCAAGGATGTCAGGGACAAGATTGTAGACCTACACAAGGCTGGAATGGGCTACAAGACAAGCAGCTTGTGAGAAGGTGACAACAGTTGGTGCGATTATTCGCAAATGGAAGAAACACAAAATAACTGTCAATCTCCCTCGGCCTGGGGCTCCATGCAAGATCTCACCTCGTGGAGTTGCAATGATCATGAGAACGGTGAGGAATCAACCCAGAACTACACGGGAGGATCTTGTCAATGATCTCAAGGCAGCTGGGGCCATAGTCACCAAGAAAACAATTGGTAACACACTACGCCGTGAAGGACTGACATCCTGCAGCACCCGCAAGGTCCCCCTGCTCAAGAAAGCACATATACAGGCCCGTCTGAAGTTTGCCAATGAACATCTGAATGATTCAGAGGAGAACTGGGTGAAAGTGTTGTGCTCAGATGAGACCAAAATGGAGCTCTTTGGCATCAACTCAACTCGCCGTGTTTGGAGGAGGAGGAATGCTGCCTATGACCCCAAGAACACCATCCCCACCGTCAAACATGGAGGTGGCAACATTATGCTTTGGGGGTGTTTTTCTGCTAAGGGGACAGGACAACTTCACTGCATCAAAGAGACAATGGACGGGGCCATGTACCGTCAAATCTTGGGTGAGAACCTCCTTCCCTCAGCCAGGGCATTGAAAATGGGTAGTGGATGGGTATTCCAGCATGACAATGACCCAAAACACACGGCCAAGCCAACAAAGGAGTGGCTCAAGAAGAAGCACATTAAGGTCCTGGAGTGGCCTAGCCAGTCTCCAGACCTTAATCCCATACAAAATATGTGGAGGGAGCTGAAGGTTCGAGTTGCCAAACGTCAGCCTCAAAACCTTAATGACTTGGAGAAGATCTGCAAAGAGGAGTGAGACAAAATCCCTCCTGAGATGCATGCAAACCTGGTGGACAACTACAACAAACGTCTGACCTCTGTGATTGCCAACAAGGGTTTTGCCACCAAGTACTAAGTCATGTTTTGCAGAGGGGTCAAATACTTATTTCCCTCATTAAAATGCAAATCAATTTATAACATTTTTGACATGCGTTTTTCTGGATTTTTGTTGTTGTTATTCTGTCTCTCACTGTTCAAATAAACCTACCATTACAATTATAGACTGATCATGTCTTTGTCAGTTTGCAAACGTACAAAATCAGCAGGGGATGAAATACTTTTTTCCCTCACTGTATGTGTGTGTGTGTGTTTACAAGGGAGAGAGAGAAAAAGACAAAGAGAGGGTATGTCTGTACTGTATGTGTATGTGTCTTTATGAGCAAGCGGTGTCCATGTACGTCTAAATCCAGATACAGAGCTGATTTATTTACATATATCTCTGCATTCAGCTCTCTCAGTGTGTCTCATTGTCTCTCTCTCCAACCCAGATCATCACGTTTTTCGGGGGCCAGGTGTACACCAATGAGGTGACCAGCGAGGCCAGTCGTCTGTCCTTCGCCGGGGACTACCTGAAAGGAGACGCCTCCCTGCTCCTCAGTGACCTACAGCTGACGGACTCTGGGGAGTACCACTGCAAGGTCAAGACGGGGGGAAAGTACCACTGGAGCCATGTCAAACTCATTGTGCTGGGTGAGTCTGCTCTCCAGCTCTGTCTCTTACACGCGCTAATCAAAAGGGAATTAGCCCGGCACATTTCCTCTCTCATGCTGACTGATCTAATGATTCAATTTGATTCAGACGGAGTGATTCAATTTAGATTTTTTGTTTGGCCTTGTTTCTCCGTTGCGAGGGTCTCTGAGATGTGTGGTTGTTGAGGCACATAGAAGTAACATATCATATACACTGCAAGTCAAAAGTTTGGACACATCTACTCATTCAAGGGTTTTTCTTTATTTTTACTATTTTCTACATTGTAGAATAGTAGTGAAGATATTAAATAACTCATATGGAATCATGTAGTAACCAAAAAAGTGTTAAACAAATCAAAATATATTTTATATTTGAGATTCTTCAAATAGCCACCCTTTGCCTTGATAATAGCTTTTGACTGGTACTGTATATGTCGAAAAATGGCTGACATTGTGGATTGACCTCATGTCAGCTTGAAACAGATGATGCAGAATTTAGCTGTTAAACATTAGGAAACGTTTTTGCCATCATGATATGAAAATAAGTTTTCTGTCATCAAATATACTGCAGACAAGCTCTTTATGATGATTTAATATTTGTTATATCTGTTTTTAATTATTAAACACCATACAGAGTTCTGAGCCATCATTCAGCTTTCATAACTATGATGACAAAGCCAGTTGGGCTGCTTTATATTCTCTGTTCTGTTTAGTTTTTTTCATTGCCCCTATACACAGAGGCTTGTTGGATCTGTTAAAAATGGCTTAGTTTTCAATGGCTCTGTGGTAAATGTGCCTCTGCATATCATTGAATAGACAAACAGCTTTGAAGGACAGACAGGCAAGTGAAGAGCAGCAATACCACAAAGCCGTCTAGTAGTCCAACGGGGGAAGTGAGATCATTCTCAATGTCAGAAACCATGCAATTTATTAAAACATCATGGGAGATTAGTTAATTGGTACTTTAATGGAACAGTCTCTTAATTCTTTCTCTCTTTTCTCCCTCTCCTACATAAAGACATTTCACTGAGTTAGCGCCTAGATTTTTACAAATTGCCCTCAGCTTTGCAGTGACGTGTTTGATTTTGAGAGACGAACATTTGCATTTTTCTCTCGCAGTCCCGATGTTAAGATTATGGGTTGGCAGCGGAGCTGGTGACTGGCTGGGTCTGGGCCCCTGTGTCAGTGTGTGTGTGTTTGTCCTCACTCTGGCTGCTCCTGCTGCAGAGAGATTGGCCTAACTGGCCCTGACAGAGCTGTGAGATGTACTGCAGAATCCCCGGCACTCTCCTCAGCCCCCTCATTATATCTCTCACTGAGCATGTTCACCAGGCCGGTTAGACTGGGAGGGAAGGGATGGAGGGGAGGGGAGGGATGGATGGATGGAAGGAGGAAGGGATGGAGGGATGGGTTGAGGGATGGAGGGATGGGTTGAGGGATGGATGGAGAGATATAAGGAGGACTGGAGCAGCTGCTGTGAAGCGGCATAGAGCTTAGAGCAGTGCTGGCCATCTAGTGAACTCAGGAGCACAGGACTCTCTCCTGACCTGTCTCTGTCTGCAGGCTTTCAAAACCAACTCACAGTCACTTAATGATCTAGACCTGGGGCCTTTAACACAACTCTTAATCCCAGCATTTACTACCATGAGAAACAAGCAAGCTACTGTTACACTCAATAATCTTTCAGTATTCTTTCACATTTACACATGCTGCTACAGTATGTCATACTCTGAGCTAAACAGTATATTATAAGAATGAATCATTATCCGTATTAGGTACCATCCTGTGTTATTTTTTGTATTATAGTGTTATTTTGAGTGTTCTATAACTACTGTTCTGTTGTTTCTACAGTGAAGCCCTCTAAGCCGCGATGCTGGATGGACGGCAGGCTGTTGGAGGGCAGTGATGTTAAACTGAGCTGCAAATCCAATGACGGCTCAGACCCTATCAAATACAATTGGGAGAGGGTGCTGGATAAGGGAAAGAGTGTTGGGAAACTCCCCATACTGGCACTGAGAGGTAAATAGATTGTCCACAAGTACACATGCTGCGCCCCACTTCATCCATGTGTATGTGAAACACGGGTCCACTAAAGAGGATATTACATAGAATATGACATTTTGATGATAGTATTTCCCAGATTTTGTTTTATCCCCAAACACTTAAATACCAGTCTGCCTCCGAAACACCGAAATGTAATGGAGATTCATTATAGCACAAAACTTCCTGATAGCGGCAATTCCGCCAGGGTTCCCCAACTGGCTGCCTAACTTGACCTGCGGGAGATTCTATTTGGCCCCACAAGTTTTCTGCACAAGAAAATCAGTTTTTTAAAATTATTGTTTATTATTGTTGGACATAAAAGACTGTAAAAACACCAGCAAATCAGCTCCAAATGATTTTAATTGAGAAAATATGTTCAAAAGTATTCCCACGCATAATAGAGAGATATACAGTATGTGATCGTATACAAATATAAGCAAGGTTTGAAATTATTATGTTTTATGCATTTATGCATTCTACAAATTATTAGTAATTATGTTCTGGCCCCGTGACCATCCACTCAAGAAAAAATCGACCAATGGCTGAATCGGCCTAGACGCATCTACCCCTCAAGGCACACAACAACACACCTTCATTGCGTTTCAGTTTTACCACCTATTTTCCCCACTCAACTCGCATTAGCGATGACACGTGCCCATGCCAAAAGCCTAGAAATTAACGACCTCCATGAAACAACATTTGTTCAGTCTAATTCGTTTTCATTGGGCGATAAAACACATCGTCGTGGCCCATTATTTATGGGTGGTGGTGAAAGGTAATATCACGTGGCTGTCATGACGGGGATGACTAAGCAACTCTTAGCCCCGTAAAGCTCCATCATTCTCTCAGACAAACTCTTTTAACTCACCCTAAATTCCCCCAGTGTCTACGGGCCTGCTCTTCAATCACCAAAGCCACTCTGAGTCTGAGTACATCCAATCTCTCAGAGGCCAAGATCAACATTTGCGAGTTCCTCTACTCTTGCTCCATTCCACAAAGTGTGATACATCAGAGCTGACACACTATTACAGACAGGAATGGAAAGCCCAAAACAGACCTGAGTCAGGTCTAACTAGGCTCAACACTCATCAATACAATTTAATCTCAATAAAGCCTCACAATGCATTATTCTTGCTGCTGGTCTATTACTAGATTATCATAGAATGGAGTGGATCAGAGCTGAGTAGACTTTGATGTAGTACAGTACTTCACTGCAAGGATTTACTACATGCTGTTAATAAAATAGCTCTTCAAGGTCATGCTAACTGTAGAAGTGCTTGAAACCATTGTAGTGGAAATACATGTACAGTCATGGTCAAACGTTTTGAGAATGACACAAGTATTGGTCTTCACAAAGTTCGCTGCTTCAGTGTTATGCGATATTTTTGTCAGATGTTACTATGGTATACTGAAGTATAATTACAAGCATTCCATAAGTGTCAAAGGCTTTTATTGACAATTACATTAAGTTTATGCAAAGAGTCAATATTTGCAGTGTTGACCATTCTTTTTCAAGACCTCTGCAATCCGCCCTGGCATGCTGTCAGTTAACTTCTGAGCCACATCCTGACTGATGGTAGCCCATTCTTGCATAATCAATGCTTGGAGTTTGTCAGAATTTGTGGGGTTTTGTTTGTCTACCCGCCTCTTGAGGATCCACCACAAGTTCTCAATGGGATTAAGGTCTGGGTAGTTTCCTGGCCATGGACCCAAAATGTAGATGTTTTGTTCACTTATCACTTTTGCCTTACGGCAAGGTGCTCCATCATGCTGGAAAAGGCATTGGTCGTCACCAAACTGTTATTGGATGGTTGGGAGAAGTTGCTCTCGGAGGATGTGTTGGTACCATTCTTCATTCATGGATGTGTTCTTAGGCAAAATTGTGAGTGAGCCCACTCCCTTGGCTGAGAAGCAACCCCACACATGAATGGTCTCAGGATGCTTTACTGTTGGCATGACACAGGACTGATGGTAGCGCTCACCTTGTCTTCTCCGGATAAGGTGTTTTCCGGATGCCCCAAACAATCGGAAAGGGGATTCATCAGAGAAAATGACTTTACCCCAGTCCTCAGCAGTCCAATCCCTGTACCTTTTGCAGAATATCAGTCTGTCCCTGATGTTTTTCCTGGAGTGGCTTCTTTGCTGCCCTTCTTGACACCAGGCCATCCTCCATTTACATTTACATAATTTACATCAAGTCTTCGCCTCACTGTGCGGGCAGATGCACTCACATCTGCCTGCTGCCATTCCTGAGCAAGGTCTGCACTGGTGGTGCCCCGATCCCACAGCTGAATGAACTTTAGGAGACGGTCCTGGTGCTTGCTGGACTTTCTTGGGCACCCTGACGCCTTCTTCACAACAATTGAACCTCTCTCCTTGAAGTTCTTGATGATCTGATAAATGGTTGATTTAGGTGTAATCTTACTAGCAGCAATGTCCTTGCCTGTGAAGCCCTTTTTGTGCAAAGCAATGATAATGGCACGTGTTTCCTTGCAGGTAACCATGGTTAACAGGGGAAGAACAATGATTTCAAGCACCACCCTCCTTTTAAAGCTTCCAGTGTGTTATTTTAAACTCAATTAGCATGACACAGTGATCTCCAGCCTTGTCCTCGTCAACACTCTCACCTGTGATAATGAGAGAATCACTGACATGATGGAAGCTGGTCCTTTTGTGGCAGGGATGAAATGCAGTGGAAATGTTTTTTGGGGATTACGTTTATTTTCATGGCAAAGAGGGACATGGCAAATTGCCATCATCAAAACTGAGGGAGCAGACTTTGTGAAAATTAGTATTTGTGTCATTCTCAAAACTTTTGACCATGACTGTACAAACTGCACCACAGACCCTGGTCCTCTCAGCTTTCCCAAGTTGAGCAGGTTGTTAAATCACGGTCTATCTATCTCTCTTACAGATCTGAAGAATCCAGCGATCGTCACCCTGCGGAACCTTACGAAGGACAGTACAGGTGTCTACAAGTGCACCGCCAGCAATGACGTGGGAGAGGAGAACTGCATCATCGAGGTCACCATGCAATGTGAGTAGAGAGCTGCTCTCCGGCTCCGCACCATACCATACTACAATGGTGATGGATGACTGTAGTTTCCAACAGCACCTGAAAATTATTTTTCCCTCACGCCCTCGCTCCACTCCCCTGCACCTCAGTAACCCAACACTGGGGACTGTACTGTTAGAACAGTGGCCATTGGTCATCGGCTACGCTCAAACAGTAATGTTTCAATGTCACAGTATTAGATTTCCAGAAAGGCACAGGAATATTAGGGTCACAATGGGGTGAACTGTTGGGGACATGATTTATAAGTTAACACAGCAACAGAAATGGTTTGATAGCGTTTTGTTAGATTCATAGCTTTGTAGGGGACTGAACACATAATACACACAACACCAGCAAAATCTATGATCCACAAATTCACAGGATTTACCTATCGGGACTAAATCAAAGGGATTGTTTATGTGAGAAGCATCAATATTTGCGTGTGTACACAGTACAGTGTGGATACTGTATGTACAGGTGCATGTATGGTGGTTTTCCGCTGCCCTTCTGAGGTCACAGATGTGTGATGATCCACAGATGTTCGAGGGATGGGCGTGCTGGCAGGTGCCGTGGTGGGCGTCTCCTTTGGTGTTCTCCTCATCATCCTAATCATCTGGCTCGTCTTCCGCAAGAAGGAGAAGAAGAAGTATGAGGAGGAGGAGACTCCCAACGAGATCCGGTCAGTTATTTTCCTTCTTCTTCTTCTTCTGTTCCTCTTTTGCTCTTTTTCTGTCTCTAACTTAAATACTAAAGCAAAGCACCAACTTCTCTGCATGTGTAAGTGCACATGCGTGTGTGTCTGTAATAAATCCCTCATTGTCAAGCGTAGTATTGATTGGTTTCTGAGAGCCTCCTTTTCACACCTCTCTGCTCCCGTGCCCAGAGCTTCTCTCCTCTCCAGAGCAGCCATTAGCAGGCGGCAGGGCCTAGGTGTGGATTGAGGCCGTGTTTGACTACCAGAGCGAGAGTTACAGTAAACTGGGGACTCCAGGCTGCTAATGGAATGACTTGTTACAGCAGAAAAATAAGAAAAATTACAACTTGGAGGCTATGTAGCTGCTTATTTGCCGGTGTTCAGATGAATAATGCAGCTTGGTTGGGGATGACTGTGTAGTAAATAATGCAGACTACGTGGAGGTCTTTCCTTTTTACATGCCATGTTTAACCACTGAGCGGGTGGGATGGGATGGAGCTCGTTGGTTTTCTGAAGTGGGGTCGGTGACGATGGCGCCGATGTAATGTGACGAATTAGACTATCTTTATTTAGACACTGTGTCAGACCCAGATGATAATGCAGCAAGTGCAGTGGAGCGTCACCAAACCCTTTTCTCTGATTGTATAAGACAGTTTTCTCCACTGGCTCTCCTCAGAAAGGCCATAGAGTTTGTCTAAGTTTGTCTCTGTGTGCATGCTTGGGGTCATGACTGGCCGAATCTAAGTAGCTCTTGTTTGTTTTTGCTTTGTGTATCCGTACAGGGAAGATGCGGAGGCTCCCAAGGCCAAGCTGGTGAAGCCCAACTCTCTGTCCTCGTCCCGCTCTGGCAGCTCCCGCTCTGGGGCCTCCTCAACACAGTCCATGGTGCACACCACCGTCCCCCGCGGGCACCGCCCTCGGCCCCCAGCCATAGCTGCCCTTAAGGAGAACGGACAGCCCCATGACTTCCCTCAGTCCCCCCCAGCCTACACCACGGTGGTACCCCCGAACAAGACCCCTGAGCCCCCCGGCACCCCCAAATTCAACATCAACTCCAGGAACCAGATCTCTGGGCCCACTCCCCCCACTCTCATGGTCCCTGCCCAGACCAAGGCCTTTCAAACTGTGTAGGAAGGAGAAGAGAGCCCATCCTGGCTGTGTTGATGTATAAGACCCACCCCCTCCCCACAACCCTTCAAAGACACAAACTCTTCTGTTAAACAACGAAATGCAACTAGTAAAAGGATGTAATTAAAATAATCAATAATATAAATCTCAAATTTTTATGAATGCACACTTAAAAAGGGAAAATAAGAAATGCTTGCCCCCTACTGAATAAAAAACAACAAAACAAAACAAAAACAAAAAACCAGAGACAGAACACATTTCTGTTTATGTCTCTCTGCTAAATAACTTATTTTTACACTTTTCTTTAAACTTTGAAGGAATGGGAAGCGGTGAGTGAGCACAATGCTGTGTGCGGTGAGGTGGAAGGAAAACCCGAGTGGAGCTTTAATTTATTTATCAAATCAAAAGGACAAGAGGAGTGCAGAGAAAAACTAAGAAAGAAGGGATGGGATGAGAAAAGAGAGATCCAAAGTCGGAGCCTAGTGGTGTCTCTGACTCATCCAACCACACCACTCCCAGCAGGCAGACAAACCGGAGCTTCCAGCCCCCGTTACAAGCCACACACCCACATACACACCCCTGGCCCTCTGACAGAGACCAGGCTGTGTTCCCTGTGACGAGGGAAACCGTTAGATCACCCCTCCAGACCACAGGCGGCCGTTGGCACCTTATTTGGGGAGGACAAGCTCATATTAATGGCTGGAATGGAATAAATGGAATGGTATCGAACATGTCAAACACATGGTTTCCATATTCAATTTACTCCATTCCAGCCATTATTATGAGCCGTCCTCTCCTCAGCAGCCTCCTGTGCCCCAGACTCTCTGTGATGCTTTATGCACTCCATGACGACATCTAAGACACACCATGTTCCATGGTCCTGACCCCATTCAGAGAACATCTGCTTTTCTCAACAGGAGAAACTTTAGCCACATTCGTATGACGTCTCACTGACATGGTAGTCAGAGTTCTGATGAAACTTTTATTTTTCTCTCAACATCCTGTCTCTCAGCTCTGTGGACATCCTACATCAGGGATGGGCAACTCTAGTCCTCGGGATCGGAGTGGTGTCACACTTCCCCCGTCCCTAGCAAACACAGCCGATTCAACTAATTGAATTCTAAATTGAAGATCATGATTAGTTGATTATTGGAGTCAGGTGTGTTAGCTGAGGCTGGGGCAAAAGTGTGACACCAATCAGGCCCCCGAGGACTGGCGTTACCATCCCATATGGTACGGAAACTCCTACCCAAATTAACATATGGGTGAATTGGGTGTTAATGTACAGTACATAGAGATACGTTACTGAATATACTGGAAAATAATACCTTTAAGACAAGGGGGGCTTAATATCTATTATATTTATATTTTACTCCCCCCACCCGGGCATGTCTAACAGGTTGTGAAGGGTGACAGACAGTGTCTCAGTCTGAAGAAGTGCCACCAATCCCCAGGATGGGTCATCGTTGCTTTTTTTACTCTTTTATTTACCTCCACTGTTTTGCAATGTCACTGAAACTAAAACCTGTCAAAAACGCAGTGAATGTGTGTTGAACATAGATTATTTTCTATGCTTTGTAAGGTACTGAATGGAAGGAAGTCAAACATAGGTACAGAGACATACATGACCTTGAAGTTAATCCCCCCAAATACTGTGGATGATTGAATGGAGGAAGGAGTATGATTCTAGGAACTTGTATTGTACAGTGTGCATGGTTCCACCGCTGGTAGGTACTCTCCTTGGATCCACAACAACAGAGTGGCACTCGATTACTGTCTCATTGTGTTGATGGCTGCTCAGTACGTTGGCCAGGCTTTGGCATCAGCCATCCCATTTGTTGTACATCTGTCAGACCAGTGCAGTGTACATCAATCCCTATCCCCTTTGACGGTTTCTTTCTCTGTCCTTATCATGAATGCACATGTGGTTTGAGTTATATGTGTTGATTCAGCTTTGGGAATCTACAGCCAAAACACAGAGAGACAGGGGCGTAAGCCAAACCTGTGTGATTATATATAACTGATCAGAGGCTATCTGTGCTCTTTTAAGGTCCTTACTACTGAAAATTGTCTGTTCCAGGTGCGTAGGAGTCAAAATAACAATACTGGAAGAGATAGAGACCCGCACACTGTCAAAAAAAGGAATGGATCCAAAACTGAGGCTTGAATGCAAAATAAAGATGTTTATTGCAACATTATGGTGCATAAATAAAAGGTAAAAAGAAAACACAGACGTTTCGGCCTCAGGTCATCATCAGTGGAAATTGTCGGCACACACACCTGGTTTCTATTTCAATGATAATTGCATATGTCACATGGGCAAGAAAATACATCCGAAAATCTATAAATCAGTACCTAGTACAATATAATGCATGATCTAGGTTATATACAAAAGTGGACAGAGAAATATAATCAATTATTGCTAATGGATATACCATGTGAACATTTCCTCAGAGTAAATAACACAGGATTGTAAGAGTAGGGAGCTAGAGACACCACTAGATGGGGGTATCGAACGCAAATAAGAGGCAATATACCAGTTACAGAAAACACTTCAATAACAATTCTTCATTCATGCCTCATGGGTGGAGAGTTTTTAAATAGAACATCCACATGCATTCTGTCTGGAGAAGACTTAATTCAAGATTACACCCCCTATGTGAACATTTTATCTGCTGTATAGCACAGAAGGATATGGAAGAGACAGGGTGACAGGCCTCTGAGAAATGACGTGCAATAGGGGATTTAGGGTCATTTCTCCTTCTATAATATGTGTTGTTATCGGTCTAATGGTTTTGCGCACGTATTGCTTATTGCATGGACAAGAGATAAGGTATATGACATTAGAAGAGCTGCATGTGAGAAACTGTTTGATAGCTGAATACGCTCACTGTTTTACAGGAATCCCTACATGCCGTACAACTACGACAGGGGTAGAAGCCAGTCACCTCGTGGTAGCCCGAACAATGAAGTCCCTGACATTCCTGGCCCTGTAGTGTGAAAAGAAAGGAGGGTCAGAGAAAATATTTTGGCAAGCAGGATCAGCCATAAGCACATTCCAATGTTTCTTAATAGCTCCCTTGATGTCATCACTCACAGGACAATATGTAATGGTACAGACAAAATTGGTTTTTATTTTATTTATTTTTGTAATCATTTTATCCCTTCTGGTAGAGGTCTCATCAATGGTATGTACTCTACTGAGAGCATCATCAAGCCATTCTTTCGGGTATGAGCGGGCCTCAAACTGTCTATACATTTTCAAAGCCTCGTTTTCAACGTCTGTTTTACTAGTACACATTTGCTTCAGTCTCAGAAATTGCGTGTACGCTAATCCCTTCTTCAGAAATGTGGAATGCGCACTAGAGGCATGTAGGATACCGTTCTTGTCTGTAGGCTTTTTATACAAAGTAGTGGACAAAGACCCTGACTGAAAGCGCACAAGGGTCTCTGCTGTAAACATGATTATATTTACATTTTTTACATTTAAGTCATTTAGCAGACGCTCTTATCCAGAGCGACTTACAGTTAAGTGAGTGCATACATTTTCATACTGGCCCCCCGTGGGAATCGAACCCACAACCCTGGCGTTGCAAACGCCATGCTCTACCAACTGAGCTACATCCCTGCCGGCCATTCCCTCCCCTACCCTGGACGACGCTGGCTAATTGTGTGCCGCCCCATGGGTCTATATGTAACTCAATCACAATGCAGAGGGTGTACATCTCCATAATGAGGCAACAATCCATGCCAAGGGACTAATGTACATTATGTAGTCATAGTGTTGTTTTATATTGTACATACAGATAGATATACGCACATGAAGTCATTTAATTTAATAGACAAGATCGTGGTGGTGTTGGTGGTGGTGTTAAGATGTCCAATGAGGAAAGAAATGCCTTTTTAAAGAGAACATGGTTTGTATTTGGCCAGGGAAGCTGATGTGTTTTAATTGGGTACAAGCCTTCAGGGCCACACCCACACATTCTCATGTTAGCTTCTCATTCAAGGGAGAAGAATAAGGGGACCAGCCAGGCATAACCTATCTGAATGGATACGGTTGCAGTGCAGACACACAGTGTTTATTTTAGTTTCTGTGACTAACAGTAGATGCCTATTATTGAATTAAATTCAGTTTCACAGGCAGCAATCTTGTTTTCACTAGTGGCAGCGGTGTCTCGAGACAATGCCCGTCCATAATTCATACTCATCTAGGCCTCTGGAAGCTGCTCGCATGCTATCTGTCAGGCAAAGCTGTTTTTTAATATAGCCATGCACCGGTCTCTTTGTGTATTGACAGCTTCCCTTCCCATCACACACACACAACCAGAAACACAGACACACACACAAACACACACAAACGCACACACACACACACACACACACACACAAACACAGACACACACAGAGAAACACACAGAAACACACACACAGAAACACAGACAAACAAACACACACACACAGAAACAGACACACACAACACACACACACACACACACACACACACACGCACAGTACACAGTGAACCAAAAGCCCAAACAGTCAGCCTTGTTATTTCTGTTCCTTCAGAATACATTTGATGGATGGTCGGGGGTATTACAACTGACTGATGGCGCTCCCCACCAAAGGGAGTACAAAAATAACCATTGCATAACCCAGGAGACAATACACACACACACACAAACAGTGCTATGTGTCTTAGCATTCTCAAAAACAAATGCTCTAACACAGTTTTCAAGGGAACGTGAGAGAGTAGTGGGAGAGGAGGGGACGTATAACAAGATTGATATCGAGCCAGAGCTCTAGGCTCCTCCATTTAAATTCCCTCCTCTGCCTATAGGAGCAGCTCGGTGGAGGATAAGATGCTTTGTCTTAAATTCCTCCAGCTTTTTTATTTGCTTTCAAGCAACTGGAGGTCTCAGGTGGCAAATTCCCCAGATTATGAGCCCTCGCGTTGCTTCTCCACATATGTGCCAGCTTTGTGGACTGTCAAAGCTGCTCTG